TCTCATCCGCATATAACTAAGCACCTTTCAAAATTATCTTTTACCAACCTCTGATGGAAGTAAAAGATATAAATTATATGAACAAATATTTGTCAACTTGACCACAATATCAACTATTAACTGATATTTCCAAAATTTTCACTCTTCAGGATTTATCAAAATCAAACAATGTAGATTTTGATAACTTGATCCTTATAGTCCAAATAAAAAATATAAGATCGATATTTTAAATAATAAACTTTTAAGATGAGTGGTTGTTAATCAACAATCATTTTTATTAGCCAAAAATATAGAATTTAACAATTTTTTACAAGAACTTGATCCTTGTTACAGACTTCTATACTGCCAAACACTCTCAGCTTGGGTTAGTTAAGAGTATGTTAAAAATAAAGATAAAATTAATTTTTTTTTAAATGCAATTTCATCTAAAATTTAATTATAATAGATGGTTAGACCTCATATATTCAACTACCCTATATTGCTATAACAGCATACTGGATAGATCCTGAATAGAAAATGCATCGAATCTTATTAAATATTATTCTATTTAATCAAACCCATATGGCCATAAACCAAAGTGATGCAATCATTAAACTTCTAAAAGAAATAACTATTGGCCATAAACTTTTAAGGATCATAATAGACAATGTCTCAAATATAATTGCAATAAGGCATGTTATTAAAGATAAAATATATAATAGTTTAATAATCAATATCTACAACATTTTTATTGTAGTGTATACATTCTTAATATTATCATTGAAGAGGGAATTAAATTAATTAGTAAAAAAATTTCTAAAGCACAGAAGTTCTCTATAAAACTTCAAAACTTTCTATTGCTAATTTGAGAATTAAACCAAATTTTTGAAATAAAAAAGCTTCTATTTTTAATGCCTGAAACTGATGTGAATACCAGGTAGAATAGTATACTTATTATACTAGAAAACTTCAACAAATCCATTTCATTACTGATATTCTTGTAGCAAGCAACTAAACATTAAAACCGATTTATCCTAATGAGCAAGAATGGCAATTTATTGTTGTTAGTAATTCTAAATTATTTTTATTTTTTTTTTAAATATGCTTGACTTTAATAAAATGTGAATTACAGAACCTCTTAATTCTTCTTGAGCCTATGTATCATGCAACTGCAATACTATCTTCTTCAACAGTTTCTACCCAAGGTGACTTGCACATGATATTCTATAATCTTATTCTACACTTGAATAATAATAAAAACCTAGTGATTAATATACAACATGCTGTAGCTAATACAATAAAAGTAAAATTTATATTATATTGGGCCCACTTAAATAAATTTTAGCAATCTTGGGCCTTCTTGACCTATGTAATAAACTTTTAACCTATGAAATTAGTGAATGTGAACAAGCTATTAATCAGCTTCATAGAATATATAAAAATTATAAACCACCCAAAAAAAATAAGCTATCACCACCATCTACTACCACTACTACTAAATCAACATGTGAACTTTTTCACATCCTTACAAACTGCTGTCAAGTCAATTTGAACTGATGTGAAATTAGCAAATATTTAAATGAACCTGAGACTGAAGCAGATCTACTCTTATGGTGAAAAGCAAATTCTAAACAATTTCTAACTCTCTTCTGCATTGCAATAGATTTTCTTGCTATGCAAGCCACAAGTGTACTGGGCGAACAAGCATTTTCTATTGCAAAACATACAATAAGTCTCATCTGAAATCGTATAAATCCTGAAGTGACGCACACATCACTATGTTTAAAAGGCTGGTATAGGGAACTAAATAATATATTAAATAAAGAGGTAAGTGGTATTACCGCTTAAGAAATAAAGGAAATATAGTTTTTTTCTTTTTTTTTATATTTTAGGCCACGCAAAGTTAATTTTTTGTTTTGCATTACATGGAATCTGAAAATTGGGTCGGTTGGTCGGAT